ATGATAAGCTTTCTTTGCAGGACTTGGACTCGAGGACGATAAAGGACTGCACGAAGAGTCGAACGGCGAGGGTGAGGGCGAGGTTCTGAACCTAAATGAATGAATGTAGAATTTAGAAGAATGTAATGACTGAGAGTTGCAGTTCTCTCTTATGTCGGCAACCTGCTTGCTCTATACATAGCAGGACCTCTAAGTTGGAAGATGATCAAAACCTGCGCTCCCCTCAAAAAACCACCAAAAAAATAGTAGTAGTGACACCGAAAAAGTAGTGAAGTCGATCAAAAAAAGATAGATGTACATGTATACATCTATGTATAGTTAAATAAATATTTTTCATATAAATGCACTATGTACTACAGGTTTAGTTTTCCTTGTAAAGCCCATGGTTAAATCTGAAATCTACTTTCTTGAACCTCTCTCTTTCAGTCTAAACTCTATTTCAAGTAATAATTCAAAGAAAGAAAGATAACTGTGCCACTGACAATATCTACTTCTGTTGTATGATATGTTATGAACGTGTACAAAATTGACTTTTGATAGACAAGACTAGATATACTAGAGCATGTTCAAGCAAAAAAAAATAGAAAGAAAAACGTTAGATGTGGAGGAGAAAATTTGGCACATACCTCACATAAACCATACACCCACAAGATAAATCTGAACTGAAATGGCAAAAGGCAAAGTGATTCGTGTGTAGTCTATGTACCACAAAATGACGCTGATCTACTAGAGTCCAATCCAACTAAAACACTGACAATTAACAGCAGAACAATTAAAAAATATCTTTCACTTTACAATGTCATATAAATAAAATCAACAACTCAAAAAACAACTGAAACAAAATTTACTTCATATTTGGTTGTCGCAAACGTGTTGTTCAATGCAAGAGGCTTATTTTGAGAGTAGTGAATCATCATACCCAACTGCATTTTGGATTGAAGAACCAACATGAAATCTTGGGACGGATTGCGTATATATACTCTTGATGTAGAAGCACAAAATGCGGGTGCGCATTAATCCAAATCTGCACAGACTATTGATCATTTTTATGAAACATATAAGTTTCCCTTGCCACCTTTGCTTTTATGTTGTGCAAATCTTTCAAATGAATGGTGTCATCTTCAGCTTCTCTTATGGATCATGGAAGAGAAGTAGGATCGATTAAAAGTACAGTCTGGACCTCCTACTTGAATCTGTTGTTTTAGATGCATGTCAAAAACTTGTGAAATGGTTCAACCCCATCTGAACAATTGCTCTATGTTCATCTGAGCTTATTTATATTTTGTGGAGCATATGCACACTTTGGACTCCAAGGAACAACCTCATTTTCTGCAATTCTTCAGTGACACCTTTCGCCTTTATCATTACAATGAAAACTGCAACACAAATGAAAACATCACATTAATATTAATTCATATTTATGAAATAACAATTGCACTATGATAACATATACATCAACAAGTTCAAACTGTGAAAACATTCAAACAAAATACTCTTACCTTCGTCTGTAATATATGACTGTAGTCTCAGAGTCTGATTTGTAATATGTAACAACAAAGTTACAAACACATAATCTCTTCAATTGATCATTGAAGTTTATCTTTCTTGATCATGGTCTACTATTGTCACCTATACCGAGAGGTGGATAGATGTCTTTCCTAGATATCGTGTTTGGAATCCGAGAAGGATGGTTGAATGTTCCAAAAGCAAACCAGTAAGTTATTGTTCTTATCCAAGCAGTTTTTGGGCCTAGTCTGTCATTGGTTTATCGTTTCCAAAAGCTTGTTTCACTGCAGGAGGTGATTGAATATGAATTCTATAGTCCATGGTGACACAAGTGTTCCTTTTGTGTTCAAGAAAAAAAATCAAGATCTAATTCTGATTGGGCAAATGTGGCCAAGAAAAATGTCTCTGCAGACTACAAACATCTTTACTTCTCTTAAGCTCCTAGCTGCATTGAGGTATATCCATGTCTAAAACCTAACATGAACTATCTCCTAAAACAGAAATTTCACAATCAGCATATTCATCAGCCTAAATCCTTATTATAGAATCTTTTCAGCAAAATCAGGTATACTTTGAACTTCATCAAATCTACTAAAAAGAAACTAAAGTACTTTGAACTTCATCGAAACGATAAAAAAATGAAATAGTTTGAAACTAAAATAGAAATTGAGAGTTTGATAGTTTCTGTATTTGAACACAATTCAAGACCGCACATGAACACTTGAGAGGCTTGCTCCCCTTATCAGTTGGTGGGGTCTCAACCGGACTTGTCACTGATATTTCCCAATTACGAGCTTCGAAGAGAGCTTGGCAAGCAAAAGCAATGCGCACATCAAATTTGGCATCAAATCAGATGTTTTGGTATGTAGACTTTGACCACAAGCCATCAAGTTTGAAACGTCCCGCGCAAACGGCTGATCGCCTTTGGAAGAAACCTTGCCACAAACTTGTAAACTCAATTGAATAGTGAAACATGAGTAATGAACAAAAATTTTGTTTCAATATGTCACGAGTACACACTCTGTTGATTCTTGTGTGTTTTTTCAAGCTGAGAGGATAGGAATATTGATTTATAGCAGCCTCTGATCAGGTCAATTCTTATATCTAATTCTGAAACATATGAAAAATGAAATATTTGGAGTAACAGTCAGTCTATGATGATATATTTCCTCACCCATGTACATCTACTTTCAAAGTTGATCATATGAAGAAGATATGATGACACTCAATCAGGCCATTCAGGTTAGATGCATTCTCACCTGAAAGACTGTGACTTGGAGGTGTCAGGAGATCCACACTGCAAACTGGGAATTGCGCGAACGAGTCAAGGGTCAGAACTCCAACGTCGGCTCTCCTTCTTTGCACTTTCCACAAGCGATAAAAGTATCACTTTATTGACTTTGTTCCCATTCCTTGTCACGTTCCGACTTAGTAAATCTGGAAATTAAACATAAATAATATCCAACATAGAAGACATCGAACACACGACCTCAAGAAAAAACTTCAAATGATGCTTGTCTTTGATTTGAAGTCTCCACGAGATGCTTTCTGTCCTCGTGCAGGTGGAATTGACTATACCCAAGCCAAAACCCGCACTCGAGGGGGTTTCTTCTTCTTCTGATACAGATTCTTTGCTTGTCGAACTGCAGAGTTTTTGAATAACTGGCACTAAAATTTCTGACAAGTAAGAGAGTGAGCGTGAAATGCTAAACCCTGGGCGACAGTGACGGTGACCCCGCACACGGTGTACCCTTGCCTACAGCCCGGACGGATAAGGTGGGGTTGATCTAGCCAAAAGTGTTACTAGGTCTGTGAAACATTGTCTAGTTTTACAGGGCAGAAATGGACGTATTTAACCTCATCCTAGCTATATTTAGCTAAGAACCGAGGGTACTCCTTACCTGAAAATAAACTTAATGTTTCCGTGAACCAACTAGATGCGAACCACATTACTTGTTACGTCGAATATGTGAGATTAGTATAATCACGCAAATATGCGTGATTATACTAATGCGTCATGATGCGTCAAATACACGCGAGTATTTGACTCGCTATTCAGCACACATGTAGACTGTTTGTAAATCGTTTAAAACGTTTAACCTCCATGTAGACAACGTGGACAAAATATGGCTAAAATTTACGATCAACAACGAGCCAAACAATGAAATCAAACATTTGTTTTACTAAAGCTACGAGCGTTGCCTCGCACATCTTGGAAGCATAATGGAAACGCTTATGGTAATGCACATTATTATCATAGTTAGGCTCGGTTTAGATCGATGGGAGCAATGCAAGAATGTCAAGGGCGTTGCCAGAATAAGGACCTGGACTCGTAGAGGGCCACAGTCACAGGCCGAGCCTATATTTTCTCATATTTTGCTCGATTTTCTCAGATTTTGTTCGGTAGGAAGAGACTGCTTTATTAGGAGGGAATGTAAACAAGCAGCGCAATCACGCTCTCTCCGGCATTTATTGGGTACGATGGACTCCACGTGGAAAATCTATCAGGAAAGAAGCAGGTTTCCTGGAGTGGAGAAGGAGCCCGACCGAACTCGCCGGTCAAGAGCCCGATCCTACCGAACGCTTCTACTTCTAAGACCGGCAACGACTCCGGTATCAGGTCGCCAGCCCCAGCATTTCCAAGCTGGACAAGGCGCTTGAAGCCTTTCGCGGCAAAACTGGTCGATATGAGCCCTTTTATTGTGGAGCGCATCCGGTGAGCCCTGTCGAAGCTCTTGGTCGATACTCGTCCCGGACATGATGTTCAAACATATGTCGGAAGGTGGAGAATTGGGGCCGTGCCCACGGGAAAAGATGGCATCGTGATGTGGGCGTTAATCGTAGTAGACTGGTGCTAGCTTTCTGAATCCCAAAATCTGGCTCGCCGACCGCAGATGTCGTGAGGGCTTCAGCTTACATCGTCATTAGTTGCCTTCCTTCGCGCCTGCTGCTGCCGGTGGCCGCTGACAATTTGTCCATGGAATTCGATTCGATCCGTGCAGTCGACGAAGGTTGTCGATGTTGAGTGTGTTACAATTCTCGGTTTCTCTCCGCGTGTTGTACTGAAGTTCTTGCTTAACGTCTTACTCTGTTCACAGCATTATACAGCTGACGAGGAGAGGATTCAGCCTCCAACGCCACCGAAGGAGAGGAAAGGCGATCTTTTCTCTCGATCGAGAATACCAGTCCATACCAGCGTCAGAAGGATACTTTCTGTATCTGAAGATTCGAGATACACAGCATCAGTACAGGATTAGAGTTCTGGACCATGCAAACGAAGTGAAGTGAATCCAATGCAAAACTAACTCCTCATTTTTTGTTTTGATGACTACGCTACTGCGTCGATCAGCCGACATGTATGTTCAAGTCGACTGTGGGTGGAGCGTTCGCCCATGCATATTCTTAAATCGCAAACATGTTATGCAAACACACAAACACACACAAACGTCATTTCACGAGGTCGAGAGGCCGACGCGTGGTACCGAAGTATATTCTCTCAACATATTATGGCTTCATCAGCTGTTTAATTCATTATAATTGAAGAACAATGTGCCCTTGAAGTTAAGAAGCTTAGCTAGAAGTGCTCGTCGTATCAGTTAGTCAGCTAACGTGACTGGATGGTGAAGCGATCTACAGGTGGTTGACAGGAGATGTTATCTGTGCTGTGCTGCAGTGATGGCTTGACTGGCAGTAGGAGTAAGTACACGGCAACTGCTAACAAGCCATGTCATAATAGAGCGATTCATCCGACACAGAGGAATGAAATCTCGTGATGTGGAAAAGCACGGGCTGACGCAATGAAGCACGGCAAGGTGGACATCATGCAGACCGTCGACCTTGCATCGTAAGTTGTGACACAGTGACTCGCATGCACTGCTACTGGGGCCCTTACTTCCGAACCTTCAGTGCTAATTTCAGTCCTCGCTGCTACAGCTTAGATAAGGATTTTGCACAACCAAGGCCTCATCTTTCAGAGTTCTTTAAGAATTTCTTCATTCCGTGAACTTCAAAATCAACCCTGCTCCCACTCGTTGAGACCATCCAGGATCTTAGCAACACCCTTATAGGCAGAACGCTCCCTCTCCGTAGCCTGTTGTCACAACCTGATGTTACAGATGTGCAAGAAAATCAGAAACAAAAAAAATGGGTTCCTACGAAGTTCATGATGGGGAAAGCAACTGCTCGTACGAAACTGTGATGGAGTCGTATGATGAGAGTGGCAGCACCTTTTCAACTTCCTTTTCGAGGAATGTTGTATGCAACCTAGTAACTCATCAGTGACATTATGGCAGAGGACATTGACTAATCCAACACAATGGGCCTTATCCTTTTGTCTTTCCATATATTCCATGTCGGCCTCTGACCTGACCTGCGGGTGGTTGTGGAGGTTCAGAGCTCCTACTTCGTGCCATGTTTCAAACGCTGACAACAAGCACTGCAGAAACTTACTTAGAATAGGGTTCATCGACTCGAGATAGTGAGTCATCTACTGGATACGCCGCTTGCAAGTGGTCCTCTAAGATTGGATAACATTGCTCCAGAACCTGTCATTTCGAACAAGAACCGTCCGCAGTCAGGCCATGTTCCACAGAGACAAGTTTACTGTCATCCATTCCTTTCAAAACCGAAGTATGATTCCACGGATTACAGGAATCATGTGTACCCATGTGATATTCGAAGGACTGATTCACGGTTACCCGAATGTCAATTCTCCAAGTAAACTGAACGTACCTCTTGGTATGCACGGTCTTCTAACATGGCCCCGAGAGCCTCCACTGCAATCGAGACAGACCGAATAAGTCATCATAAGAATCTCTTTCTCCGAGTTTAGGTTCATCTTACGATAAGTGAAGGAGGTCTCATCGCGACAAACATGGGCAGCATAACAAGTTAATAGTCGAAACATAGTCAATCCAGTAAGTAACCTGAAGGCAGGCGGGCCACTAGTCCGAATGTGTACTTCTGCCCTGCGGTGTAGTTGATGCCTGCAAGAAAGGATGTAACCACGTGTCATAGAGAAGAACGAAAATTCTCTCATTTGTGTAAGAGGGGAATGATCTTCAACTCTTCCTCGATAAACATCTGATGTGACAAGTGGTTCGATTGGGAAAGGGTCCCCATTTCTTCGAATCTTTGAAACTTTGGAGTTCCGTGCTTACCAGCTGTCAACTGCGCTATCCTTGTCCCAGCCTTCTTCGGTAGCTCTGCGAAAGCACTGAGAATCTCTTCTATTTGGGACGCTGGGGTGTCTTCTTTCACCTTAAAAAGCTCTACATGTTCTAATCCATGTTCGAAATTCTGCAGTTTATGACACGATAGTCACGACAGAAACTTGAGTATGGATTTGGTCCAGGAAACCATGGTGATTACAATAGTTCAAGACGAAAGAGTGAAAGTGAAACGGCTGCTACATTGAAAGGTGGAAGAACAATACCTCTCCCTCTCGGTACAGGGATGCCAGGTCACTTTCCATCTCTGCCTCGAAATCACATACCAATTCTCCCTGAAAAGATGCAAGGACTGTACCTAGTCAATTCCCACGATGATTCCGTCTTGGCTTCTTACCTAAATCAATCTTACAGAGTCTTCGATCATAATCGAACTTCCTCCCAACGAAGTAAAACCAAAACATGTTCAAGCATCAACCCTAGAAACAGATGAAAAAGCAGGAAAAGATCTGTCGGATTTGCATACATTGAATACTGGCACGATATATTTATATGAGATCTCGAGACGATATCTGTCGTTCAAATACTCGGTAAGTGCCTCTTTGGTAGGAAAGCGCATGTAAAGCACATGAGTGACTCCATCAACGTTCCTAATCATTGTTCGTCCTGCAAAAGCCACCAGATTAGAAACCACCTAAGGGAATCGAAGAAAAGGATTCCTACGATTAAAGTTGCCAGGTAAGACATGACACACCAACCTATAACAGGATAGAAGTAAGAAGCCTCATGAAATTATATTCCTTGCATTGTACATGAGCATCTTCCAGCGGAATAGTAACTAGTTCAAACGAACAATAATAGAATTCCACAGCTTTGCGAACTTCGGTTAACTAAACATTTGCAATTTGTGCAATTTGTATTTATCAACTTCTCACGGGACAATGTTTGCTTTGAGTGTCAGATGCTTGTGGACATGAACGCCGACAGTTACTTAATTGGAGACGACAACAACACTGCGAGCAAGAATTTGCATCGACGTCCTGATTCTGAAGGTGTGCTGCCCATAACTGACGTGAAACTGTAATTGCTCCTCACGTGGACATACATAGAAATGCAATAATGGAAAACTCACATCAGTCAAGCCACAGCAAATATTGATTCCATGAACTCACCTAACGACATAGACATTATACTGTTATACCGATCTTTGAAGGACCAAAGACCCTTATACATGTCGTTTTCTTGCTCCTGGGTGTATCCATCCTTAAGTTTGAAGAACACGAGGTGCTCGACTATCATTCTGAAAAGAAGACAAAAAGATTGATCAGTGCATAGGTATTCAATGGTCTCAGTCATCATAACTTTGGTCCTTGAGTCAGTTCTCCGTTCTGCAGAGCGATATATGTTAGTGAATGATCAAATCCTCTCAAGGCCTGGTTTTTTCAGTATTCTTAAGGCGCTTTTACATTCATAGATGATCATCAGCTGCATAACCAATGTCTAAACAAGGACCAAATTTCTGCTCAGTTGTTTCAGAGGCACAGCGCTTTAATCCTCTAAGTTGGATGACTAGTGGTAATATATAATTATAGTGAGAAGCTCTGAACAAAATATAACGCAATGCCTCTGACACCCTTTACCGGCAGCCAATAGAGGCCAGAGGATCAATCCACATTCGGTGGGTAGTCGTATGTGATTGTTGTACACAAAATTTGTATTTACATGGTACTGAGATCGATAAACAAAATAAACAACTCTGTTTTGCAATTTCAGATGATTTCATAACTCCTGCTTACGTTAAAAGTAAAGGCATGCAAGATTGAAGATATGGTTTGTTTGGCGCTATTGAGCCAACTAATCATGAACTGTTGATAGAGTAAAAGCTAATAAGCTGCAAACGATCAGTCATTCTATTATATTTGCGTGTAGCAGTTATTCTAACAGTCGATCCGCGCGAAGTATTTCCCAATACCAGAGCACACTTCTTTCTACCTGTAACAGAAGGAGGACATATAGAGGCTGCACAAAGGCGACACACTTGAACTTGAAAACTAAATCGCTAGATGTGTTCACCAGCTATCATTTCGTTGTTGGCCCGATCTTTCAACAATTTAAGAGCATGCGGCCGGCAGAGAGCCCGCAAAATCAGATCAACAGCAGTTTCCGGGAAAGAAGGATCAGCTGATTGATGAAATCCAGAACTTTGTGCGTGCCGCTTCAGGTTGTATCAAATTCGAAGACACGGGTAAAAACACGATTCTTAATGCAAACCTTAAATTGAGTCAACAACCAGCTCACATGAGCTTGACCTCGTTCTACTTTTCCTTCTAGAGGGACGTGACGAAATTGTGCATTGACAGAGATGGGGAATACTTCAAACAATTGCTGTAAACCAATTCGAGATGCACGAGTGTTGGTCCGAAACGAGAAATCGGCAAAGCAACGACGAACGCCGAAGCAGAGAAGAGGATGCTCACATTTTTGGACCATCCACTCCTGCTGATGAAGCCATGATGAGAGTCGGCCGCTCTGAAAACTTTGCTAGTTGCCTTCAACCACCTTCTAATAATCGCGCAATCGTCCCTGGCAGGCAAGGCATTTCGAAATGTGAGAGCGGATGAAAGCGAAATGAGGCGTGGAGTGTATATGAGCAAAAGCTGACCACAGCGAAAGCTGCCAACTGCAGCAGAAAAAAGTGCTATTCACATGTGGTCCCATTCGCAGGCGTCTCCAAACCATCCCCAATATCCGTGCTTTACCCCTCACTCCAATATTTGGCTGGCATGTGTAAACTATGGCCCCTTCCTTCACAAGACTATTCGGATATGCAAGATCACACAACAAGCTATATCCCTCCCAACCTAATTTCGGCACTCTGGGCAGCGAGAGCGACAAGCCAAACGCGAAGATAAATTTGGGTTGATGAGCGAGTTTTAGGCTTGTGACCTCATGCCCTGACTATAGCGAGCTCAGACAGACGTGACAAGTGGGTCTGGATCCGGCTCAGGATATTCCCACCTTTCACAGAGGTAAAGATGCAAATATATTCGCGACACAATCCACATTTTCCGAATACAATCACCATAATCTCATTTGTAGGAAAAAGGGGAACTGTTCCGAAAAAATCCTCAGGACGTCCACTCATTCCGTCGCCCGAAATCTCTCGGTCTTACATGCCCAGATCGCAACCAATAGGACGCAGATATGTTTCCAATTACTTCTCGCTGCGTGTTATTGCGTGGCTTGACGCTATTCAGCTTCAGCCTTCCCTTTCATTCGGTTCTGGCATGCTCGTTAACGGCAGAGTGGAAATCTCCATTCTGGATCCATGTGCCGAGGTCGCATCAGCATCAGCACTCGGTGTTTCTCCAGACGTCAAGCTCTTGAGAGTATTACCCAAATCCGCGGGAATGACTCCCGTCATTGATTGGTTCGTGTTGTGGAGACGACCCTTCCCAAGCTGATGGTGCACCAATGGACGAGATGGATGGTGTACTTTGTGGAGTCTCATCGTGACCTCGAACACTCCGAAAGTGTCATCACGGAGAGGTTACAGAATCAGGTAGATGCTGCCCGGACTGCCGGATTCTCAGAAGAAGGGTCTGTAGATTCCCTCACGAATTCCGGGCTTGGGGTCAGAGTGAGCCCCTAGCAGCTGACGACTCGTCGGGTCACTTGTTGCTCGCAACAAGCGTAGAGCAGACTTGACTGGGGAGTGATACGTGATGTCCATGCCTGCCCTGCTTCGTGATACCCAAAGGGCGCACGGAGGAGAGAATAGAAGTCTGTGCAGCACGTGGCTCCAAAGGGTAAGAGTGCTTCCGCACAAGAATCTGCACAACCAATGATGGAAATGGTCCTTCGTGTGGAATCGACGTCTGTCCCATCTACTGCACTCAGCTTCCCGTAAGGAAATTTGCCAATCAAAGTTTCCAGGACTCTAGCCTGGGGATGTAGAACATAAGTGTGGCAGGTTTCCAGAGTCCAGAGTACAGAAGATTGAGAGTGTGAAGGATTGAACGGGGAGAACATCAGTTTGTGAGGAATCTTTGCTTTTTCTGATGTGATACAGATCTCGATACATTCCGATTTCAACTCAAGGCAATGAATAGCTTCTGATATGGGGTACGCACAAAGATCGAGGTCAGACTACCAGGCCTGCAAATTTTTCAAGTGGTTGAAAAGTCTTTCCTATGACCTCCAAAAGTGAACCATCTGTACAGAATTCTTTTCTGTAGTCTTTGATGGGTATTCTGGGAGGCCTCGATTGGAGTACAAAGCCCGGGCACGAGGAGAATGCACCACCTTCCCGCAATTTACTTCCGTGAGTGTGACTTTTTCCGAAAACAAGTTCTACATGTGTTCTACATGAAGTTCGTGTGGGAAGATCGGACGAGAACCAAGAGGCAAGGTCTCTGCAGGAGAAATGAGGGAGGTGTAGAAACCTGATTTGAGGAAATGTAGAATCTTAATCATCCCTCTGGTTCTTGAAAGAGAAACTGCATACAATACATCCGGTTAATCCGGCTCCCTACTCAGCATGGCTTCGTCCAAGAACCTTGAGTCTCAAACCAATTGCACCATCTCAAATTACTGGATAACATAGAACAGGAAGGTCCATACAGACATATCCAGAAAGCGGCTGCCTACTGCAGCTGGCCGGAAGGGCGAGAGAGAAACAAGTAACGCGTCTGATAGACGTTATCCGCTAAGAGAGCTGGCAATTATCGTCACATTCAAGCACGTTCCATTTGTATTATGAACTGCCAGTACAAACATTGAACCATCTGATTTGCACGATCTACATTGGTGCCAATCGTCTCGGTATCTCATCGTAACTAAGTGATTCTAGGGCCGTTTACCTCCACCCAGACAGTAAGAGATCTAGGCAAAGTTCGTTCACGAGCTGATCGCTTGCTCAATGCCAGGAGGGAGGAAAGGGTGGTGTATAATGACAACAAAAATGTGATGTGCACCAAATTAGGGCACAAGACAGAGATTTTAACTATAGTTGTAAAGCCCTAAGCTTTGAGCTGAAAACTCCAGATGATCTATGATACATACTATACCCCTTGTTGCACACCATCCTCAAATGGCATGTTTCGATTGGACCTTCGGTACATGATAGAGAAGTCCAGACACAGTTGCTGGTCTCGTTTGTCGCCCCATCCACCCCAACCTTCGAATCCTTTATTGTATCCCCGAATGGGAAATTTCATAACCTTCCACTCCTCATTGAGATAGGGCTCCGTCTCGTCCGAGGTCACTTTCAACCTATCGTAATCATCGATGCATTCAGGCTTGCCTTTCTCTTGACCTTGATGCAAGCCGCATTTCCCAAAGTGCATGGCGCTGGCTCTGGGCCCTCTCAGTGTGTAACCTGCGGAGGGGAAAGATGGAAAGACCGCTGCCCACATGGTGATGTCCCAGTTATAATCATCGAACTTGCAAAATGGCTTGGACTTGGAGTGAATCATGTTGAACACTGTCCGATTGAAAGAGTACCCCACGTTGCCGATCTTCTCGACGATCAGCACAGGATAGTTTTCTCCCCTGGAATTGACATCCACCGGTGCAAGATTGACGGCCAAGCACTCGGGGCACTTGGTGGCCTTCAATTTGATGAGCATCTGAATCGCACAATACGCATCGGGAAGTATGACGTGGTCCTCCTCGATGAACAAGATGTTTCCATCATGATTCCTCGTTTCGGCCAAGCCATCCCAAACTGTGTTCATCATCCACCACCAGTGGTGCTTCAGAGAAATTATTCGAACAGCTCTGTGATTCCCATACTGATCCGGATTCCCCACACAGCCTCTCTCGGCGTGATCCTCTGCTCCCCGGCAATCATCCGGGCCTAGCCCTGGGAAAGAATCCTGGAACAGATGAGGAGAAAAAATGGCATATATCGGCTTCACCTGACAGAATTTGATGTTGTCCACAATTGCATTCATTGCCGGGAAGTAACCATCGTGACTGACGATCAGAAGTGTCTTCTCTATATCCTTCACCTTGGCCAAGCTGTCGACCACCACTTGCAAATACTGGGGGCGATTGTGGACGTAGAGAACGATCGGAACGTGATCGGCAGCCAGCTCCGGGAACAGATCACGATTCCGAGGCGGTTCTTGATTCTTCAGATGCAACGACCTCGAGAGCTCGTTGGAGAAAGGAATGAATCCCAATCCACCGCCGGCCTTCGCGTCGTTGGGATCCCCAGAGCTCTCGGAAAATGGCAGTTTTGCCCGCTTCGTCAAAATTTCTTCGTTCAGCTCCCATTCTTGCCCGCTCAAAGAGCGCGGTAACCACTCACTGATATCAGTCGACAGATGCTGGAGCACGGTCCACACCAAGCACATGGCAATCAGCTGAAACAGCATGAGCACCAGGAACCGCCGCCGGCTACATCCGCTAAAACTGAAGCCTGACTTCTGCATCCCTGCTTCAAGCTAGCCCCACTGCCATTCCCCGGCGGCGGCGAGCAAGAGAGAGCGAGCTGTCAGTCGCCGCTCACAGCAATCTCACAAGCATCCTCCTCGACCTTTTGTACAGAGCAAACATCAACATACGCGTGGCGACGAGATCTCTCCGACCCGGCGGTGCGAAGATTGGTGCTAATCCCGGCGATCATGAGGGCGTCCTCGCGCACATGATGCAATTCAGTAGCTCCCGTTCGCCGCAGATCGCTTCTTCTTGCCACCGCTCGAGACTCGGGCACCGACCATTCCTGAGACCGCTTCCTCGCTGCCTTTATCGCGCTTCAGAGCATCGATTCTATAAACCCTCCAGGCACTGCGACCCGCATGGACGCATGACGCAGAATCCCTCCGCCGAGACAGAGCCTGCACAAAATCCTCCTAAAAACCACAAGCTCGGAATTTCCACAACCATCCGGAGCAGGAGCAGAAGCAGAAGCAGAAGCGCTGGGATTCAATTCGCATCTGCGCCTTGTGCCGCTGCCGCCCTCTTCTTCTACGACAGCTCGGATCCTGGTCCACAGCCGGTCGCCCCGCAGCAAAGAATCGCAGCTGGTGGACCGAGACCGAGCCCCTGCGCCGTGTCCAGATCAAATCGCGCACGAGGCGGACGCCCAAACCTCCAAACCCCGTCGTCCCCTCGCGTGCCGCCACTGCACTCGCACCGCGGCGCCGGTCTTCGGTCACCCGCGGTCGGACATCTCTCGATGAAAGCCAAGACCTCGAGCTTCAAAAGTCGGCGATTGGAGCGCAAGGAGGAGGAACGCGAGGCCGGTCGCGGTGCCGGTCAAAGAGTGGGCAAGCCGTCCACGGCTGCTCTGATGACCGGCTGGCTCGGGCCTTGCCTGCTGCTGCTGCTTTATATCGGGCCGCAAGGCTCTTGCCCGCCTGCTGCCCATGACGGCCGGCCTCCGGGCCCATTTAATATTAGATCCTTCCCCCCAGTCGCCCCCGGAACGAGCCCGGGCCGGGATCTGGCGGGTTCGTGTGCAGGGTGCGCCTTCGCCAGTGCGCACCCGGCCCTACCCGGCCCGGCCCTGCTCAGCCCGTCCCCGTGCCCGGCCCTGTCCCCGCCCGGGTGCATTCATTGATGTAGCGAACTCGTGGCCACGGGTGCACTTGCCTCTGCGCCAGAGGCTTTCAATTCCGGCCGGGCATGCGCGCGGCGTCGTCCTCGTCGCCCGCAGGCTTCTTGGCGCTGCCATTGGCCGGCCATGAGGCCGTCCTCCGCTCTGCGACCCGTCCGTCCTTCCGCAGGAAGGACCGACGTGTGCGACCGATTCGTACGCTTCGGGCTCGGCCCTCGCGTACGTACGTACATACACACTCCGGTGCGCCTTCTTCCCCCGACAGGGACCTGTGCCCGAGCGGACCATGTGCATTTTCTCTGGGACGACCCTTTGGGGGACCGCGATCGTCCTTCGTCGCCTCTCGGTGCTTTCTGTCCGTCACGAAGTCGCCCGGTCAGCCAGTCTTCTCTCGACGGGCCAGCGTAGTCCTCCGAGCACGTGGACGATGGTGATTCGCACAGCTGCCCGTCTGTATGGCCAGGTTCCCATCCCCCCCCCCCCCTGCCCTTCCCCATGTACCCTCGACAGGCTCGCCCGGTATTAAATGTGGAGCTTGTCTGAAGGGAAAGATTGTAGTACGACCTGATCTGAAGATGGCCTATAAATGGCGCTTTACAGGACCGATATTTAAAGTCGCGCTCAGCGTATTCAAGGCTTGTGGAAGTCGACTAGCCGAACTCGCATCGCCTTCTGTCGTCGCTGAACGTGGCGGGTAGCGATTCGCTCGTCCTCTCCGCTGGGTCTCCGTGCAAGCCTGATGCTGCCGTGTTCGGGATATCTGTCTGAATTGCGCAAACCTAGGCCTCTGCACGGCACGACCCCCCTCTATTACCGGTAACACCCGGTTCCTCTGATGCAACCATCACGTTTTCAGCCATTCCGCGCCTCCTTGAGAACCACTTACGTCGGCTTGCAGAGTCCAGAATTTCAGCTGGCCGGTACCGCGGGTCCGTCAGAAGCAATTGCGAATATCGCCTCGTGGCTTTCGGCAGAAGGAGGTCCACGGATCAGTTCGCTTTCTCTATATGATCGGCCTCATTTTATTTTTATATTCGGTCTCATTTTATTTTTATAAGTGACGCTGTTATCTGTTAAATGCACAGTTAGTTTTCTCGATGTGATCGGCCTCATTTTATTCTTATAAGTGACGCTATTATATATTAAATGCACAGTTCGCTTTTTCGACGTGATCAGACTCATTTTATTCTAATATTCCGCCTCATTTTATTCTTTTAAAGTGACGCTATTATATATTAAATGCACAGTTCGCTTTCTCGATGTGATCAGCCTCATCTTATTCTAATATTCGTCCTCATTTTATTCTTTTAAAGTGACGCTATTATATGTTAAATGTAAAGTTCTCATTTTATTCTAATATTCGGCCTCATTTATTCTTTTAAAGTGACGCTATTATATGTTAAATGTAAAGTTCGCTTTCTCGATGTGATCGGCTTCATTTTATTCTTAAAATCGGACTCATTTTATTCTTATAAATGCCGCTATTCTATGTTAAATGGAAGGTTCCTTTTCTCGATGTGATCGGCCTCATATTATCATTAGTATAAACGACGCTAGTCTATGTTAAATGCGCATTAGGAGCCATGCGCTGCCGTAAGGTTTGCCCACTGGCTCCGACCGTGATGTTAGAACCTGGTCAGCCATCGAGTTCTACGCGGTTCGCAGGGTGGATGACGCGGTGCACAGGTCCCAGCGCCGTCCATATTGACTAAACTGGACTGGAATACGATTTATTCTATGGGGCGATCATTCTCTGAATTCTGCGAGCTGTGTGCAGGTCTGTCCAAATTCGAGGCCGGTGCGCGATGGATGTGAGCGCACACATAGATATGGGGGCAGTCTGAAGCAGGGCATGAATGTGGCCACGCCAGGGTTCATTTCGAGTCGAGATGGGTCGAATGTCTTTCTCCACTGACGAGTTTGCCAGAGCGAACTCGTCAGAAGCCCGACTGCCTGCTTCCTCTCGCCTGCGGACGAAATGTCGAGAGCGCGATGTCCAAAGGGATCATTTCGAGGACAAGTGTGGCTACGATTGTCTGTTCATTTTGAGCCCTCATGAACCGTTTCTGATTCGGGCTTGTCGAGTTCCCTCGTGCAAACTTGCCAGACATCTCCAGGTTCTACACCCTCATCCGCCCCGATCTACCGTCCACCTCAAATTCTGCCAACATGCTGCACAAGGTCACATACCTTCCGTCTACATCGGAGCACACTTTACTTCTGAGGTGATGGCGAGGTTTGAACTGCCAGTGGAGTTCAAAACCCAAACTACATACTACGATGAAACTTTGATATTGCAATTTCGAGTTTGTCATTGACTGATCTCTATGAGCCATCCACATGGTTAATAAATATCTCGACATACAGTACTGTACTCCACACTTCATTACACCCGCTAGAGCTTTACATACACTCATATTGGATCCGCATAATCCTAGTTCCTCTAGGTATGGTTTATAATCCGGTGAATCTTGGCCTATTATGGTCTTTTGACTAGATCAAATGTCTTCATTTACACTCGTAAAGTTTTGACTACAATTGGTATATCCATTTGCATCGTTAGTGTTCAAGTGTGAGAATGAGATTACTTCAAAAGAAACATTGTTTCATAGATGCACATATCACAAAATATCAAACATTCACATCGGATATCATTGAGGATTTGATTCTTGTATTCATAGTGAATGTTTATACCTCACGTGCATTAGAAACGTAACTATGAGTTGAGGATAAATCTACATATGGTTTCAAATGAATAAGTTATTGTTAACCACATGTTGTAATATGATTTCAAATGGTTGGTTGATTACTCTTGGTAGGAATCTCCTTGGCATATAATTATGTAAAATATCAAGTTTTTGTTACTTTTTTAGTTATATATAATGATAAATACGAGAGACCAAATTCAATAACCTACAATCATATTTCCACTTTCAATGAACATGTTTCACATGGAGAAATCACTTTCTAGGTTTCTTTCCCCAAACTATAGAAGTTATCATCCTCTCTTGATGTTGGTGCAGTCAACCCACACAAAAAAACCCAGAAAGAAGAATTTACTAGAACTGTCAGGCTATATGAGAGACGGTTTATCACATAACTACTTCAAAATACTTGAATGGTTGTACATCTATGTTGCCCGGTTGTTTGACATGAGCCCTTAGAGATGTAAGGTTTGCCGGAAGGAAAACATGAAGGTCGCCGTGCCTCGTCACTAAGGGCTCCTCAAAAATGAGGGAACGCGAGTTCTGCCCGCCCGGGCTTTCTGCCCGCAGCCCGACCTCCCCCACTCCGACCCCATCCCCCCTTCCCCCAGCCCGACTAGGGATGGCCGCCTCCCGATCACTCCACTTTCCCTTTCCCGTCCCTTCGCAAAACGTCTGCGTCCACTGTTCTGCCAATGCCAGTCACCGAGTCCTTCACGCTAAATTACATTAAATTTTATTAAATAGTTTAGCCCCTTCTGATTCTGTCCCACGTTAGAAGAGAACTGCGAACGACAAATGTATTGCGAGGCATGTCATGTCTTCCATTTCGGAGATTTGGTTGGAAATATTAGACGCAGGCAGGCGCTGCGTTCAAGCAGTAAATCGGAAAAATCAAACTTCTGATTAATCAAAAACGCTGGCAATAACAATCGAGCCCAACAATGGTGTTGAGAATTATGTCCTTCGTCTGGCCATGTAAGTTCAGAGAATGAGAGTATTGAGTGTGTTTTTTCCGCCTGAGGTAGCTGCCAACTTAATTATTACGGGCGAGTCTTCTCCAGAGTGGATATAATCGTCGATATTTAAGACGTTCGTCAAAACGTTACCTAACTTCATGTGGGGTCAAGAGCACGATTCGGATTATCAGCTTATCAGATTCCTTTTTTGCAGAGGAGGAAATTCTATTTTTTGCAAAAATTGTGACCATGAAATTTTTGTGAAATTAAATTTATGATTTGAGTTTTTTCATTGATCTTGTTATCACTTTATAATTTTGCTTTTATGAAATCTTTCATTATGCCTTCTCTTGTGATTCTCAATCATGTTGATAGATGAATAGATTTACTTAAATATAAAAATTGAAGAGAAATAATTTCCTTAGAAACTAAAGGTTTAGAAAGAAAAAGACCTAGTTGTTTTTTGGGGGAAGAAGAATGGAAGCCCCAAACATGCTACTCCATTTCTCCTCCCCTTTGCGAGGGGAGGAGAAATGGGGCATGGGGGAGGAAAAAACTACGAAGTACAAGTTCCCTGCGGGGAAGGGAGGCCGCGAGGGAAAGAGCCCGATGGGCGAGCTAAAGCGGGAGGGTCTCCACAACTAATAACTAGTAACCGGGAGGTCGGGCTGCGGGGGAGGGTGTCTGGTTGCGGGGGGAGGGGGTCGGGATGCGGGCCCGGGTGAGGAGGGGGGGGTCGGGCTGCGGGCAGAAAGCCCGGGCGGGCAGAGTTCGCGTTCCTTCATTTTCGAGGAGCCCTTAGTGACGAGGGTCGCCGTGCATTCGGTGTGCGTGGAAGTCCGTCTTGGTGAATGTCCCAGTCAACGAGCCAACTGTCATTGCAGGTTTGAAAGCACTTGTCACTTTCCTACACTTTCATACATTGTCTTCTGCATTCATAGTCCGTTGGATTGGACATCTGTGTATATCAAAACTTATGTAGAAATAGTCTGACTGTTTGAAGTTTTGGTAAATATCATGCTTGCAATGCCGTTACTTGTCACTTTCCTACATTGTTTTCTGCATTCATAGTCCGTTGGATTGGAAATCTGTGTATATCAAAACTTACGTAGAAATAGTCTGACAGTTTGAAGTTTTGGTGCTTGCAATGCCGTCAATCGAATCACGTAGATGTTCAGTTTGTAATCTTGCCCCGTAACGAAAATGTCTGTGTCATTCAACTATCCCAATCTAAATCCTATAATACTGTCTACCATCCCTACATTCTATATTGGTGGATCATTGTCTCATAATATTATTTCATGACCACCTTATTATAACAACACTTTGAATTCTACAGAAGAAATTTATACATCAGATATAAATTTTAGTTATTTATTTTATATACATGCATTGAACTCCTGAAGGTTACCAATCGTGAATTTAGACGTGTGAATTGCACTCGTTGATGTAATTTATTGAAGTTGAGTTTATAGCATAGAATCTCATATAAAAAATTCATTTATCAATAATTAATCAATTGTATGTTGCATTAAAAAAATATGCAATTTTTTTTGAAATTGTAAACATGAAAAAAATACATCTTCATATAAAACATTATCTTTTGCAAGATATTAATTATTTTATGATTAATTTAGCATCCTTGCCAACATATTTTTCACATATCATATGCTCAAATATCATATTAATTGTAATGTATTGTTACTATATTATTATTTTTTAACTATTCATAAACATGGTTACAAATTGGATTGAATTTCATACATATATGTATAATGAACAATATGACGATAAAAACAATTTCCTGATAATCATTATAAACATATTAATATGTAAATAAAAGAAAATAAATCCTTCACATACTCTTAAAAAAATAAACAGAAATATTTTTTGCAATTTGTAAGAATCCACACTGAAAATGAATGCTTCAAATTTGTAACGCTCCTAAGGTTCACAAATTTTAAATCTTAAACTACTAAATCTTGAGTTTGTGTCACATAATACTTCTATCTTCTTTATCTAATATCAAACTAATCTTGGTTACATTAAATATAGTCAGACCTATCTCAATTAACAAAAACTCAATTATTTAATGATAATCTTCCCTCGACTCATGTCTTCAAAAAATTAAGCTTTGTAATTAATATGATTTTTCTGCAAAAAAATTATCAAAGAAATCAAATATATATTACTCTATAATCAACTTAGTTGGTTACAGCATATGATGCTGCATAATTAGTTTAGTTGATTCTTGCATATGATGACTTCAGATTGACATTCATTCAAAATAAGCATTACATACACATAATAGTAGTAATAATATCAAATGTCTCATTGTTCATCTTTTCATATATATATATATATATATATATATATATCTATTACTTTCATTAAATTATCAAGCTTTGGATTTTACTGTCCAATATTTTTTTCAAAACCATATAGTGACTTCATCAATCTACAGAACAACTTGTCTTACATTTTTCTTCAAAATCAACTGGATGTCTCATGTAATTTTATTACTCTAAAACTCATAGATCAATGATGTGATCATGTAGCAAATTGAACTAAATGAAACATTCGAGTAAATACACAAGTAGTCAGAATAGAACATAGTTTGCTAAAATAAAGAAAAACATTGTAAACCAATACTTTTTTGTGTGTGAATCACTAAATTAAAAAAGTACTAAATCACCCATATGAATTTGAATAAAAAATTTTCACAATATTCTTTCATTGCTTCAAAATACAAAATTTGAATAACAAAATCTTGATACTCAATGAAATTTTATTTTTTTAAATACTCATGATTGATAGTGAAGAGTTTAGACTTCAATATCTTGTCCACATTCGTAGCCATAAGTTTTTTTTTACTTGCATCTTCCAAAAATAAAACATCATGTACATTGTACTTGATTATATCAAATCCATTTTTCTTGATCGTCCTGATTTTTGTCTTATTTTCGTTAAATTTGTGAGTAATATCTTTATGTTGAATAAGTTGAAAAAATAGATTGTTCCAATTATCTTTCTTTCATTCATATGATCATTCATGTGCTTTTATGTTTGAAGCCATGCCCAATTAACTCAAGCAATATTTTACTCTTAAAAATTACTCTTGTTTTCAATGTATAGCCAAAACGCTATGTTATCAAACTCAAAGTTGAGTAGTGAGAGATGTTTTTTTCTTTGTTTTCTATCTTGGCGATAAGATCATTAGATTATAGTCTCATTAAAAGTCATTAAACAATAGCAAAAATTTAAAGACATTGCAATTAGGGCAAACAATATCTTGAAATATTGATGAAATGTTTTCATATTAGCAAATTTTTGTGCACATTGTTTTACCGATACTCTTATATGTATCTTGGCATTTTGTTGTATGTAAATAAGATTGCTCAAAAAATATCCATGCATTCTAAAAAAGTTGATGTCATATGCACATAAGATTGATTTAAAAATGTACTTGCATCTAGCTACACTATACATTACTAAGGTCTTTGTGCAGATTGTATCTTCTGAATTTTTTCAAACTGATTGCTACTAGTTTACTAAAATTATACCACATCAATTTATTTTTCGATTTTTCACTTCTATCACAAGGCAATATGCATACTTTCACTTAGAAGATTGAATATGAAATCCAGCATGTCGTTTCAATCAATTTATAACTTTAGTTTTGCCAAAACAATATACAAATTTCACATACAAGATCCAACATCAATTTTAATCAAACTCTTGAATAAGTTTTGAAGTTAACAAAAATATGAATACATATTTATATATTTTATAGAAAGAATTTATAAATAAAATCTTTTGTAGTGAAAGTAATTGTTTTTATATCAACACGTTTA